AACAAACAAACAAACAAACAAATTTATATCATAGAATATCTTTTTTCATCTATTGTTGCTTGCTTAGAAGACCGTTAGTAAAAGTCTACTACATTACAGATAGTGATACACATGTAAAGTTTGAACATTATACTTATAAAGTGATACAAAACAGTCCGTTTGTGGATTACGTACATGCATGTATGAATATGAAAATGATGTATATCTAGAGTTTTAATGGTTTATGTTGATATGGAAAACTATACAAATTGGAAGATAAACTAATATACATTTAGTATAACAGTAACATAGGTAGTTTGAACAGCATATGGATACTTATAATTTGAGTGTTTTATGGAAAGCAGGCCTCTACATAGCTTGTAATATATGAATATCCATGAAGTATGATACACGAGTCATCAAAATGTTTAATATGTCATAATTACATGTTGATATCTGTTGAACTTGACAATCTACAACGCTCACTAGTGGTGCACTCGCGAACCAGTAATAATCTTCTGTCGCGCATCAAATATGACCTCATTCTCCAACTACTTTGGAATTAGTCCCCATAAAATCACGCCCCATAGTAACACACTATCCCCCTCTCTGGCGCCAATCTGTGGAGCTATGACGTCACGTGACTTCCCGATGTCAAATAATATTCCCCCACTGGTCAGTAACGGGCAAGTTAACTACTCACGGGTTCGAATCCCCAGGACATGCGCACAATTTCAGCCAAGGAAGGGGAGTTACAAAGTATTAGTCAATCCCAATATTCTTAATCCCAAGAATTGGCTGTAGGTGGTGTTTCCTAGCTGCATTCCCTCTAGAGTCTAGTCTACTAATTAGGAACTGTTATCACAGAAAGCATTTTTGTAGCTTTGCGCGAACATCCAAAAATATACAAACAAAAATAAACTCGCTCTCGCGGAGCACAACAGAATAGGCTGCCGACGACAAGCACAGCAACAGAATTTAAACGTTTATTAATTAATGAAGGAGCGTAGTGAGGGAAAAGGATTAAAATGTTTATAAAAGATTTGATCTTACTTTACTGATTTATTAATAATAGTAATCACAATAATATTTTCTAACCATTCGTTTTATTAATACAAATTTACAAAAGGTTCTTAATTTAAAAACGATCATAGTATTAAGTACTAGATGTAATTCCACAGGGTCCCCGAAAGTGTTCCGTTTCAAGAGTAAATAAAACCAAAATTAAGAGTAACAAATATTTATATTTCTTGCTTTTGAAGTTCATATGTCATGTTGTGTTGTAGTCTACAGAGTGCATAATTCTTCTCGTTATTCATGGCATGCGCAAGTTCTACTGACGTCACGACAGTACAAATTGCAACTTTAAACGTCCCTTATGTGACGTCTTTTTAGTGTCTACTGACTGACAGACAACACACTATTGTATAGTGGTGCGAGTGGTTAAAACAGGTGACACCCCTCCGGGCGGCATTCGGCCCCCTTTCGAGGAAATAAAAATGTAAAAACATCTATAGTATCAAAGAAAACTACATTGATGAATGTGTTAGTTTGCACGTGCCGAGTTAGATTTGAAATGAACAGGAGTTCAACTTCATGGTTCACTTCCGTGTTTTTTCACCGGTACCTTTTAGTGTTCACATTAAAGCTATTCAAGTGAAGCAAACTTAGTTTTTTAACACATGATGTCTTCTGATGAACTCGGTTCGGTTAGTTCAAACTCTGTTGTCCACATTGTTCTCCAAACGAAACGAACTGTGTGAATACGAACCAAAGTGCGAGTGTGAACTAGTTGATGAGAATGTCTACAAGTCTTCTCACACAATATTAGGAATGGTCTTTATCTACTGAATTAAAGCAAGTGTGATTTTTCTCGTTCCCATTTATACACACACACACACCTCATTATTAGAGATAAACTTTCACTTTACACCGCAAGGCGTCGGTAAAAACTTAGGTCATCTACTCATTACGTGAAAATGATTGGTTTGTAAAGCAGTTGGTAATACTTTTAGGGCTATGTAATCAGTCACTTCGAAATGAACAAAAACTAATTAAATGATCTGAAACTAGGGGCAATCCGAACATCTTGCTACTTCGAAATGAACAAAAACAAATTAAATGATCTGAAACTAGGAGTAACCCAAACATCTTGTACTTCGAAATGAACAAAAACTAATTAAATGATACTGAAACTAGGGGTGATCCAAACATCTTGCTACTTCGAAATGAACAAAAACTAATTAAATGATCTGAAACTAGGGGTGATACAAAACATCAGTACAATTTAAAACAACAGGAGCCAAGTAGTAAAAATACTTATAGCTAGAAACATTTCTTGCAACAAATAAATACAATTACGTAATGAAGAAATGAATAAAGGTTTTCCCTAGAAAGAATTAACAGTTTGAGCTCAGGATTAAAGATGCTGATATTTTTGGCAATTCAAACGAATCGGTAGACACAAGCCTGGTAAATAGTAAAAAGATCACATTCTTTGAATTTGTAAATAATAGTAGCAGTGAACAGTCAGTTAGATATTAGGTTTTACATCTTTCATAAAAGATGTACTGTTTTATCTGACCAGGAGAAGTAAAGGTGTGTTCATCCGTCAAAGTATAATCATTTCACTTCTAATACCTAGAATCGGAGCAATATATTTCCTATACATAAAATTACTCCGTCAAATCAAATTACTTCTAATACCAGAAAAGAATCGAGGGAAATGTCCAAGAAATAGTTTTGTAATATTGTAAATTATTCCCGATTACCAAGCTTTTTTTTTCAGTAGGTAAAAGTGTGAATTTTTAGGTCATGGTAAAATAAAAAATTTCGAACCTTAATAGCTTTTAACAAATGAAGGTTTACAGGTGATTTTTCAAGTGTTATATCTTAAAGAAAAAATAACACACACACATACATATATATATATATATATATATATGATAAATAAGGCAACGAACCATGGTGAATGAAGGTAAAATGGGCGTCAACTACCTTCCTATGTCGCTTACCATAAGTACGACTGTATTGAACTAAGCTACACAAAAAAATCAAAACTTCACGTGACGACAATTTGTTGATTGAATAAATTCCTTAAGGACTTTTTTCTGACCAGTTATCGCCCATTATATTTGCGTTCACCATGAGCACACTGACTAAATTATCTGTTAAACAATACAGAGGTGTTGGTACCGGGGGTACATATTTGACTTATATAGCAACTGTAAATTATATTATTATATTAATTTTCTGGGAGATATGCCCCTCCCTGCATGTCTAGACAAGTAGCTACGCTTCGTAACTTCTTCCTACACCACTGCAACAGAACTGACCATGTTGATACACTTCATATTATTTGTATAGCATAAAGTTTTAAAGATAGCATGTTTACTTTACGATTGTTTGTGCGATGTAAACCCAAGCATGAGAACCTTTTACCAGCATACAATTCTTTTTGGTATAAAATGTAAAATTTGTTATATGTTTGAAACTGTGATGTGGATGCTTTGAAATAACGTTTCAACCTATTTTTGTCAGAATGATAGTCCTAACAATATGTAAAACAGTGTTTGTGATTTAATTAATCAGTAATAATTGAAGTTACAAAAATGTTATTAAATTTTTAGAGAAAGAAGAGGGAAATTTAAATGGACAAGATAGTTCTGCAGACAAAAACGCTGAAAATCAAGATACAGATCTAGTGGTGAACGGGGACAAAGAAGGATCACCGTCAGATGGCGTTGCTGGGCAAGAAGAAAATGCAGAGACTTCTAACGAAGTAACTGAGTCAGGTGAAACAAAAACGGAAGAAAGTCCTGAGAATGAGACAAGCGAAGAGAATAACGATACAGAGGCTTCGAATGAAGCTGATAAAGCTGCATCTGCAGAAGAAAATGCGACAGAAGCGCCCACTGAAGGATCAGACGAACAAGAAATGTCTCAAAGTACAGAAGCGTCTCCACATGAAGCCCCGAATCCCGAGGCTGACGCAGGTGAAGAAATAGGAGCAGAAGAAAATAATACTTCAGGTGAGAATGGCGGCGGAGAATCGGAGACTACAGCAGCTGAAGCAAAAGATGGTGGTGGCGAAGCAGGAAATTTGGAAAGTTAAAAACAATTTAGTAAGGACCGATTTATATTCAAACCAGTTCTGAAGAGTGAAATGTGAAACTTGTTCGTTGTTCACTATTGTGTTAACATAGAGTGATAATGACTTTCACACTCGCACGTTTACACTGAATTGCGAGTGAAATGATTAATCCAAATTTTCATGTGTGCTGAGTGTGGGTTTTCACGGTAATAATATGCATATTTATATAGCCTTCGGTTCCAGAAATTGTACCTACACGTTCTTGTACAGATTATTAGTATTTCTCATAGCACGCTTTAAAGAAACAGTTTATAAATTTCACGATAAATTACGAGATATTAATGAAACCTAATGTAGACATATAACCGGATTTTTAGTAGAGATACGGTAATAATAATAGATATATTTCGTTTATATATATAAATATATAGATAAGAGCAAAAAGTCAACAACCTAATACTGAACGTGGTTTTGTTGTGATGTAGGTGTTTATATAGTGTAAGCAACAGTTTACAGTTACACACTGGATGTTTTTAGCTGTCTTACTTGTCTGTATACATCGTGGATGCTAGGAAGACCTAGCGTTCTACAAAAGTGGATCTTTTTTAATTTTCGTGAAATTTCAATTTGTATTTTGATTATTATTAGACACTAGCGCGTATATCAGAGATTATTTACGGTCTGTTATAAAATAATTGTTTTAAGTGTTTGAATCGTCACAAAAACAAACAGATAAAAAGTGGCTTTTTTTTTCTAGCATGAAAAGTATATCTCAACAAACTGTAGAAATGCACGATAAAATATTTGGTATAACTTAAATATTCATAATCCAAACATATAAAATTCAGATTAGTTATATAAGTGAAAGGCCTAAGAGTTTTAGGAGACACAGACTAAAATCTTTAGATATTTTCATGTTAAACTATATACATTTATAATGAAGATTCTATCCAATGAAATGGACATCATGCTCAAACAATTTTAATGCAGTATTTTAAAACATTCTAGATTTTATATTTACTTACTAGTGAACAAAGCTTTAATAATTTATATTTTTTCCCCAATTTATCTTTAAAATAGTTTTATGGTTTAAAAGTAATAGTCAAGTACTGTTGAACTATTACATTTAAAATTGTATTATCCGTTGGAAATTAAACCTAACAACAACAACAACACATTCTTATTTTAAAGTTTTGAAATTTGTTGTAATCCACAAATAAATAGTTAGATTTCAAAGAATATCTAAAAACGCCGATCTGTTAAAAAAGGTATCATCATTTTACTCATGGTTATTGTCACTACTAAACACGTTCCTTCTACCCGTTGAATTACAGAGAAATGAATGACTGTTAGCAGCGACATCTATGATTTATGTGATACATGTGCACCTCATCAGCACAAAACAAAATTTACTATAAGTTACTCACGCAAGGAATAAACTGATTTCTGTATGTGAAAATGTTTGGAAAAGAGTCTTTTGTATAATACTATTTCCAAACCTAGCATTTGCTAGTTGAAGGAGAATTCTTTGATTTGATAAAAAGCTTACGACAAGTTTAACACCTATGCCTATAGGAGTACTGCAACGAAATTTATTAGGGTTTACACATTACAATGTGCTTGCTAGATCCTTAAGTGTTTTTTATCATACATTTTTTGAAGCTTATTGTTTTTCCAAACCGTACGGCCAGAGATAAAAGATATCAGTTTCTTACTAGACATCTTTGTTCTACAGCGTACTAATCTAACAATGTAAAACAAATATATACGTCTTTACAATTTTATATTGTCTCCGAGTCTAGCGATCAGCTACGTGCACATAACCTTATTCTTTTTTAATCATCGAAACGTGTACCTCCACATATAATTCCTAATTATTACTTGTAATCTAGTAGTCTTTAGAGTCCGAAGCTGTAATATTGAGGTTTTACTTACAATAATGAGCAGGCTCTCATTATTTCGATGCTAGCTTGTATATTTGAAGTTATTCTTTTAAGTAACGTTTACTCGTGTCTGTGATAATATACGAACGTATCTCTCAACGTCAGGGTGCGGGTTGTCCCTGTGGCAGAGCCGTGGATTGGACAAGTCGGGTTCGAATCATTGCAATACCACAAAATATTCCCGCGTTACAAGGGTAACATTTAACTCATTTAATATGTATGGTAACGTGATGTTGACTGGCTGCTTTTTCTCTGGTCAGTAGTTCAAAAAATAGACGGCGGAAGATAATCTTGGTATAAAAATTGAAATACTATCAAAGTACATATAATAATGTGCAACATTTACTTGTTTCAAGAAATACAAAATACGCGATTCATCTCCAAGATTGGTTAGAAAATACGTATGGGTATTTTTTTTCTTCAAAGTACTCTATTTAATGGGTTCATCTATACTTATGTTTTTAACTTAAAATTAAGAAAATAGTTATCAGGGAACATTTAAAAATAAATTGTATTTATTTCAACTTGGAGATAATCAATGAACCATAAATAAAAGTTTGACGAGGTATTTCGTTAGTCAATATTATTTTTGCTTATTTAAATACCTTCCAAAATCCTCAATTTCTTGAATTACAAATATTCTAATAAAAATTCTTTAATGCGCTTGATGATTCGTTCTCTATTGCTGATAGTACCTCTTTCTTCTTGTTTTCCCATTAATGCAAAGATCTCGGCTCTACAAGTCAGAATATTGCACTTGTCAAGTCTTTAGTCTTTTATTGTTCTCCAAAGCTCTACCAATTTCTTTGGTATTGAAGCATATTCTGTTATCCGCTTCCTTGGAGTCCTAGCAGTTCTTTACAGTCCAGATGTTCATTACTCTTAAGTTGACACTATTTTGTGCGGCTATTGGTCATCTCATCTTTCTTGCTCGTTCTAGCTTTTGGTTTGATACTAAGTTACAACTTATTAACTCATGGTTACTTTAAGTGTTGAATTGATTGACCACTGTCACATTTCTTTTTATTACTGTTGTTTATTAGTTTGTAGTAGTATATTTATTTATTTATTTTGTTTCTCCGCTAGGACTTATCTGTATCTATTTCCTTAATTTCTTCATTTTGAGGATTTCATTATCTTCAGGTCTTTCTTTTGTGGCGAATTCATCTAATTCTCATTCGTTTCTATCAATAATTCCAAAAATTCAACAAGCAAATTCGCATACAACGACATTTTAATTTTGTTCTTTCCAAACTTAGTCCAATTAAAGTTGTTAATCCTCTCTTTCCCCCTTCTTGATCTGTAGTCAGTAAGGATTTGGTGTGAGGGGGTGCCTTTTGGATATCCTAAGCAGAAACAATTTGGGCTCCCAATAATAATAAAAAATGAATTATTTCCGCTAAAAAACAAACATTAAAAAGTCATTTCTGTTCATAAACTAACATCGCTGCTATGGTATCTTTCTTAAGCAACAAGCCAATCAAGTGTAATGCACGTGAGCTCACCGAGACCTTGTCGCTGCAACTTTTTAAACGTCCGATTGTTACCGAGTGGTGCTTTGGTTCGATATCATTGACCTTTCTTTTTTTTTCTTTCCATAGTTATAAATACTAAAACAAGCGAAAGTTATGATGAAAAAGATTCTCGTGAATCGAGAATTCCTTGAATTGCTCGGAGCCCTAAGCAATCGCTTAGTGCGCTTATACCTGGCGCTGCCACTGCAAACGAAGATTGAAAGCCGTGTGAAAAAGGGGACTTGGGTGCAGGTTAGAGAGAATGTACTTTAAGATCTTTTTGAAAATATAATTCTGATTTTATAGTTGGCAACATTGAAATACACTTTACGTTTGATTTTTGTCTTTGGTAATATTTTTTTCAAATCCACAAAATCTTTCTACTACTGTAGAGCATTTGCGATTAATTATATTTCAATATAAAAAATATAATTGAATCCAAAAAGTAACGACTTAAAAATCCATATATAACATTTGACATTAAAAAAAAAAGAAAAAAAAAAAAGAGTTCTTAAAATGAAAAGCTCTTACGAGGGAACTGATCTAAGCTATACATGTTAGTTTACGTGGTGACGTCAGTAAACTTTGTAGTGTGGTGACGTCATAGAAGTTCCTAAAATGTAATAAATTTTAATTGTTTTACTTTTTTAAATAGAAACAAATCAGAACGTGGAATGCTGTTTCTAACCTCTGATTTCAAGCCACATTGTACAAATTAATAGCAACGTGGAGAAAAAACATTTGTAGTTAACTCTTTGTTGAACCAATTTTTAGCCCTACCGGTTTTCCAATATTCACGTCTTTCTGTGTTTAAACAGTAATCCTTAAATAGAACGACTTTTCATACACGACAAACAAGGGTCAGACTAAACAATTTTTTTAAATATTTGAATATGTTCTATTTTTCCACGTGTTGCGATATTTTAAACTTAAAATTAAGGTTTTTTTCCTTCATAGTTGTTAATACACGCTAGATTAAAACACGTGTAACTTTACTTAACCACAAATTACAATTTGCTTATCATGATGTTTTAACGCAGTAATAACTTTCTAGAAAGTTTACTATTGTTATTTTTTACGACGTGATAAGTGTTCTAATAAATATGTAGTCAATTAGTTATTGTGTGTAAATAAAATGTTGAAAAATGATCAGTTGTTTTATCCAGATCTTTTTCTCTTTATACAAGTGGCTCTAAGATTATATAGTACAAACGTTGTGACATCGAGATTTTTTACAGACACAGACTGGAAATTCTATTTTTAATTTGCATTCGCTGCTTATGTATCAGCAATAAGCTTGGGTGCTGAATACTCCAAAATTTGGGGTTTTACCCCCTGGAAGGCATAGCACAAACATAAGTGTAACCTAACGCATAAGAGTTTTGTGTTAAAATAAGGATTTACAGCAAAAAGTTACATCTCTACTGCCTGAAACAAGTATACACTTCAGCAAGTGTGTGTGTGTGCGCATGCGCAAAACTAATTCCAGATATTCAAGAGATCTTGCAGGTTGACGATGATACAGATTGGTTCACAGAAACTACTACAACAAGTTTACAGGAAAACGTGTTCGAGTTAAAAATATATTACGTGTATTATTTCGATCACGGGTTCCCAAACTGGAGGTGGTAGTGGTGGGGGCTCACTCAGGATGCAGAATGTTCTGGAAGGCCTTGTGCTGACAGAGTTTGAAAACCACCGATTTAGATTATTTGTGATTTAAAAGTTCACTTTTCCACATTGTAACTATGACAATGAAGGCAAAACAGTAAAAAACAAGTCACTTGCTTATAAAAGACCACATTAGTAAAATAGATTTCCATGTGATACTGGTGTAAGAAATAGTGAATCATTTACTAAAACAGAAGTACTATGGTAACAACTATAAACATATCTAATCAATCGTTGTGGAATTTACATATTCCATCATCTTAATAAACATGTTACTGTGGTGCTTCTCGTTTTAGTTACTTTGGTTACAACCAGTATTATGATGCAGCCACAGATTCAAACAACTGGAAGTTATCAAAATTTACACAAAAAATATTTTATTATAGAATATTCTAATGTATTGAAACATAACTAAAAAACAAGTAAAATAAATGCATTTGCTTAGAATTTTTGGTGCAAACTAGTTTGAATTAGAAAATGTATAATACGAGTATTCAAATCATTAGCTAATTTTTTTCAAATGTTCATTGGTTCCATATTTAGAAAACTACAGTGTTTAATAATGGATCCCTTGCACATTTGTATCAAAACAACAAAAGGTTATTCAAAGTGATTGGATAATGACATCATGTAAAAACAACAGAATACAGAACAACAAAGAAGAAATTCTTGTATGGATCAAATTATTTCTCCAGATATATTTTAATTACTAATCCTAAAACACTTTTAATTACTGTTAAAAATCGATATGAATAAACCATTGATACATCATATATTTTTATGTATTTATATGAATTTCGTGGGAACTCAACGAAATCACTAAACTGTTTTTCTTTAATAGCATTTCATCTGTTGTGATAACCATAAGATAAGAGTGACAGTGAAAAGGAACACATGTATAGGAAAGGTTTTACGATGTTATAAAGTTCCACACATTGGGTAAGCTACTCAGAGCTGTAACTGAATTTGGCACTAACTCGTATCTACTTGTATGCAATCAATTTAAAATCTGACAATTCATTAGAGAAATTTAGTTTGAGTTTGATCTTCTTTATAAACTTTTGTTTTAAAAACTTACTAGTTTCATTCAGCAAACATTAAAGACAACTTCAAGGACAAGCTGTTCAGAAAATGTTTTGATATCCAAAATGCTTTTGACAAGGTCTAGGATTTATGTTTATGGCATCTTAAAATTAAGACACCAAAACATTGTTCCTCAAATTTCCATGAAACAAGGCATTTTATTCAATGAAATGTTTTCACACTAAAATTGAAGAATCTTCATTTAGTTAAGTTTGGTTAAATTCTCAACTTTGGAATTTTGCATGCATATAAGGGTATATTTTATATATATTAATATGTTAACAAAAGACTTCTCTGGTTTCAGAGTTAAGAAACGTTTCTCTTAATTGAGATTTCTTTTCAGACATAAAACTTTCCTTCCCATAACTGCAGAATGTCCATCACAATCGAGATACTAGTCATTGTGATTCTACAATATTGCCAATAACAGCAATAGCTTCTATTTCAACTTTAGCACCCTGTAAGATAAATAAATTAATATTAATAAAAAGGAAAAGATATGTTGCCAAGATATATTAAAACATACCCAAATTGGCTAACTTGAACATGTCGTTCTTAATTCACATCAGATATATATATGTTAAAATATAAACTGTTAATAAATTCAGGAAGAACATACTTTGTGCTTAAAGGTTGAGATACAACATTGCAGAGGTTAAAGAAAATACATTTAAACTAGATTTGCTACTTAATTACATTTCATGATCTTTTCTTACAAAAGAGCTAAAGAAGCTACACAGTATTACAGTTAAATGAAACAATTAAGCATAATGGTAACATTAAGCTCAAATTATCACCAGTTTACTCCAGCAGGCCAATGGTAGAGAAAGCCACCCAAAAAATGTAGCAACAAGATATACCTACAGTTAAGGCATTATTTTGGCCTACAAAAAAAATAGTCAAACTGAACAGTGTCATCATTACAAAGGACACAGTACAATGTTAAAGAGACACCACAAGTAAGAATGTCTAAAATGGTGCCATTGCAGACATTCATAGAAATTGTACGGAAGTAATATGTGGGCAGTTGTGACTTTTCGTATTGCTCAGACACTGGTGAGGAAAATGTGTAAGAAAACTACAGTCAATGTGGAGGCCTTATGAAGATAACTTCTTCCCTCCAGTTACTGCACAAACTACACATCCAACCAGTGCTGAATTTTCTTTCCAAAGTCTGTTATGCCATTGTTCATCCCAAATTACTTGCCAACTGGCATGATGCTTTGATGGATCAATAATCCATATAAAAACTAGGCAAGGCACTGACATCAACGGTGAAAATAATCCACATAAAAACTAGGCAAGGTGCTGACACCAACAATGGAAATAATCCACATAAAAACTCGGCAAGGCACTGACATCAACAGTGGAAATAATCCACATAAAAACTAGGCAAGGGACTGACATGAACAGTGGAAATAATCCACATAAAACCTAGGCAAGGCACTGACATCAACAGCGGAAATAATCCACATAAAAACTAGACATCAACAGTTGAGACTGATTTGACTGCAGTCTCAGTGAACTCGTTCTTGGATTCCAATATATTCATGAATCCAGAACTGAATAGAGATAGATGGGATAGTCATTTTTGAATATCCAAAGAACTGGAAGATAAATCACATTAAGAAATTCCAGGAACTTGAAAGAGCTATGTGATTTGGTATAGACAGAACAATTAGTGTACTGTGTAGCTTGAATATAATCCAGAGCACGAAAGATTACTTATAAGACAGCAATGGTCACAATCTATAGAAGTGATTCTATAAGGAACTACAGAGCTGCACCAAACAAAGGTGGAGAAGAACAGAAGAATGGTGTTCACAAAGTAGAAATCAATATTTCCAGTAAGTATTAACCAACTTCAAGTGACTAAAACAAATATGGTAAAGTGCCATTGTGGGATTGGCTAATCATCAAATTCAGCAATGTTATCTAATGTCAGACCCATACAAGTCAATTTTCATGGCCCCAAAGGCCAAATGTTCGGACCATCTATTTGCAAAAATGGCATGCCACCAAAATATGAAAACACAGTGCCAAGTGGGATGCTGTGGTAGTTTGCCCCTGAAGAAGAAAGGTTCACCTTTCAAAAGAGCTCGGGTTTTAGGGTTTTTATTCATTTCTGTATATTAGAAACATATTTTATAAGATTGAAATGGGATAAGACATACTTCCCATTCAACCCTTGAAACTTGACCTTGAATTTGATGGTAGAAAAGGTGCTGGATGTGAATTTAATCCAAGATCCTTTTTAGCTTCAAATTCTAATCTGTCGGGCATAGGTGGCACTGACTGTGGCTTATCTCCCTCAGAATGATTAGAAAATTATCACTGCCTTGTGGATCATTGTTCACTTTCCAAGAAAAAGATGGAAGAAGAGAGGATTTAAGCCATGAAAGTAAGTATTTCTCCAGTATTGAAGAAAAAAAGAGAGAGAGAGTTTGTGCTCTCAGTGCAAATGTTCCACAGATTGACTCCCTCCAATCAAGATTGGATTGTGTCCATTTAAGTCTCCCATGAAGGTAAAGGTGGATTATATATGCTCAATAAGGTCATCAAGGTCCGTTTAACCAAAGACCTCTCCTGACGAAACGTGTAAAAAATATACTATGAAAGTACATCCAACAGAGACATGGAAGGCAGTGGCCTCCAAAGGTAAAAGTAATATGGTCATGGAAGGAGTATACTCATCAACCATAAATGTTATTTCCCCATGAATCTGTCCATCACACAACCTGTTTATCCTGTATAATGAATACTACCAAATGATGATATTATCAGATGTTTTCAAAAACATCTCCATGACTTAGTACCTACTTCCCAAACTTTTCTCATTACAAACTTCAAGTTATTTTTTCTTTAGTATGGCCCAGATTTCTAAGACAGCTAGAAGTACAAGTTAAATATTAATACACCAAAAATGGTTACATTAGCATGTAGAAGCTGGCAAAGAGGGGAAATTTCTATAAAATTTTATGCCAAGTGTTCAATAAACCACCATGGCAAATTACGCGCATTGTTCAGTACTCTAGATAAAGTAAAAAAAATAAATGCCACAAATGGCACGGTAGCTTTTGTTAGATGTAATTACAGAAGCTAAAATTAGGTGTTATTGTTGTCATTGCATTCTTAGTGCAAAGCTACACAATGGACTATCTGTAAACTTACTGCTGACCCACCTGGGCACAATACTAGGTATACCAGGAAAACTATACCATAATAAGTTACTATTTCAAATTAGTTTTTTACTTTTATCCATTGACTGTAAGTTGGGTTATTATAACTTAGTTCTAGTCAAAAGCAAGTCTTCAGCTGGTTTTGGTACTAATATTATTGACTAAAAAGAGCTTTCACTGTGGGAAATTAAAATGATTTGTAGTAAATGTTTTATGTATTTTTTGTTATTTAAAAATTCCAAAAGATTCATGTAAAAAAAAATCTAATGGTGAATAAACAACTTGTACAATTTAATTTTTTAATTCACTAGAAGCAAATTCAGTGTTTTCATAATATATGGCATGCTTTGTATACTTCAATATTTCCCAACTATTTTACTACACTAAGAAGCTTACAGACCATCAGGAGTGTATAGGCTTAGACTACAGTTTTTGACCTACACATGTGAAGTACACAGAAAGAAGACAGTTATACATGGTTAAGGGATGTTGGATTAGATAGCTAAAGGTCAGCAAAGGTGTTGCATCCTAATTTAGCTTCTTTAAGAAACTTTGAAGCGGAAGTTTGGAGGCTCACTTCTTTTACAATGAAATAAGAAACAAAGAACAATTTATCCAATTTCGAACAGTTATAAGAAATCAAAATTTTCACATGACTATTTCCAATGGATGGTTCTGTGGACCAGCTGATGGAAACTACTGGTCCATGTCTTTCTTGAAGACATAAAGTTCATCTTTATGTAAGAAAAACATGGATTTAGCTTCCAGACAATATACTCATCACTTTTTTTAGTTGCAGCATAGTGGCTCACACAACAGCTCCAAGTTTTTTATTTTTATTTTAAGTACAAACTTTTAGCTCATAGCTCCATCATCTCTTGACCAATCTGGGATCTTATTACAGTTTTGGACTGAGGAGGTCAAACTCTTTTGACTGATGTATTTGACCACATCCAAGGTCTCATAGGTTAATTTACTCTAAACCTGTTTGAAAGAATTTCAATTTGAGAGTAGTCTGGTACAAATCCTGATGAGTAATAAAATTGAATCAGGTATATGCGCACCCTACACTTTGTATTGTTGGTGCACAAAAATATAAAAAGGAAAAAAAAAGGTCTCGTAGATTAATTTAGTATAATCCTGCCTAAAAGAATTTCATGTTCCATGACTATTGAGAATTCCCTGTTGTTTTAAATAATAAAACTTAAACTGAAGTGAAAATTAAATGGACTTAACAATATACTTTATAAAAATATTCTAAAGAGTCAAGAATATAAAAAGTACATGTAATTAAATCTTTATCTAATGAGTATTATATTTTATAGGCATTTTAAAAATACATCTTGAAAAACCCAAAATAATAGAAATTCAAACCATTACATATTAAATGATTTTTTATATCAGTTATATATAAATATTCCTTCACAAATAATAGCTTGTTATTCTTTCTGTACTTTCTGACATGGAGACCAAGAAGCCAATAGTTACAAAAACTTCCCGTTTATTTTCACTCTCAATTGTTTTATATTATTAATCCATTCACTATGGCTGGGACGTATGCACTGGGAAATATACGACCTAGCTGCGGTCAAAGAGTTAATGGTTCAGTTTGGCTTGTGCCTTAGTGAATTGCTATTCACAACACAAAAATCACCTTTGTTACTAAGAATTAGATGATTTAGCCAAACATACCATCATTAAGCACCATGTTGTTTGGTTTAAAGCAACTATGAAAAAGAATTATTAAAATCAGATTATGAAAGAAATTGCTTGGTTCTGGTCTTTAAAAGTTAAAAACACAAATTGTAATAGACATAACAATGATTTGTGACATTAAAAGTACATTTTTTCATTGTAACAAAAAGTATTAACTTAGAAAGTTCAAATGTGCACAGTTTACTTACAGCAGGCAAACAAGCAACTTGATATGCAGCACGAGCTGGACAATTGGTAGTAAAAACTGAAAAAGGTTACAGATAATAATATAAAGTGATACAGATACAAACACACATTTCATAAAATACTCAATTCACTTTCAGAAGGAAACTAAACAAAAATAGGAGTTGCAAACCGTTGCTTATATGAAAAGAGAAGTTTTCATTTGTGGAAAAAGAACAAGTTATATAAAGGTAATATCTAAATAAATGTTTAGTGTACGTTTATACACACATTGTTTTAAACATTCATATAGCATATTAACTTGCATACTAATGTAAACATAAAGAGAAGTAAACTTAATATGAAGAAGCCATTGCTTATAAATCTCCTGTCTTACACACTATTTAAACAAATTAATAAAGGAATATACTGTTTAAAATCTTAAAATCAACACAAAAAATTTAAATAGAGTTATCTTTCTAAGCTGAAATTTCATAAGCAATAATTTAGGTTTAGATTCAATTAAGAAAATACTTACATTCTTTATAAACTTCATTTACAGTAGGATAATCATTCATATCAGCCAACAACACTGTAGTCTTGACAACTGAATGAAAGATAGTCTATTCAGTACTGTCTTTTCTGGTCAGAATTACATTAGGTATCTTACTTTCCCAAGTCACTATGAAGATTAGTACCCCTACTTTTCAAAATAATTCTGAAAATTTTTTAAATTCTGAGTAGTTAAAAGCGTGTACAGCATTACCAAGATACTTTGTATATAAACTTAACCCTCCACAAGTTTTCACCAATCCATAAGTATATCAAGTAAATATTTTAGCAGCTAGGTTATAGTATCATAAATGAAGTGTAATAGACTATATGTAAAATTTAATTGATCCATAAATTATTTGTATCTTTAGTAGTGGTAAAAACTGTCTTTTATAGCTTGATGTGCAAAATTGAAAGATTAACCATAAACTAAATATCACATTTGCAAGTGTACAACTTCCGAGATGAATTCTGCAAAAACAAAGTATAGTCTATCAAATGATGAAAAAATGAAAGGTATTCTTGTAAATTTTCAACTATTGAAATAAAGGAAACCAAATTAGAAACATATTAAACAAAACTGTATTGTGGATTTTCATATACACGTAAAGTACATTCAATGTAGCAAAAAATATTGTGTGTTTTTAACCAATAACGGTCTAAAAATTAAGTACATTTCAGTTTTGTATTAGAAAATAAATTCCTGCATTTAAATAGGATTTGCAAAGTCCAGTTACTTCTGATATGAAATAGCAAAACAAATATTGAAAATATCCAAAATTAAGTTCAACAAGAAAAATAAATTTTACTCTCATTAATATAAAAATTTACCCATAAGAAAAAAGTAAACAAAACATATGCAAATTAGCTATTCAAGCATGCATATACACATTCAACAGTGGAAATTAAAAATTATGAACAGAAATTTCATGTCTAAATAAACGTCTTGTGATGCAAATTCTGTAAGCAAACATTCAAGGAATTTAACTAAATATAGAGATCAAGTGATAAATACACCACAATTTTGCCTTTTTACAATGGAAGATTTTATTCTACACAAATGATGTGTAACCCCTTAGAAACTGCAGCTCCTAGGATTACAACAGTAGTGGTAGCAACTTGTTATTTAGCCAAGCTAAAAATCTGCAGTCAAATTAGTATCTTTATTGCAATAGTACTTCTTTAAATACAGGGTTTCTAGAGTAATACAAAGAAATTCTACTGGAAGACACTGAAATCTGCAAGTCCACCTGTCTTAGCCTCACCTTAGATAAGTTTTTATTAAGTACAGCCTGTATTTGATACAGAGTTAAATTAATGCTGTAACTTGTGTACATATTTTGCTTTGGTTTAGTTTGGGCTAAACTTTACTAAATACTCTCAACAAGTAAAATTTTAATGTTATTCCAAAACTTAATGTTACACCTTTTTAAAACTTTGATAAGATTTTAATATGTTGTTGTACAAAATGTCTACTAAAGTATATTTACATCCACCTTTTGATTACATCTGTAGAAATGAAGTGCACATGCATGCTTATTTACACAGTAAAGTGCACGTGCATTTTCAGGACAGACAAACTGAGTATTATAATAGACCGAAACATTACTAGGTTATGTAATGATGTTAAAGTTAATTTCCCTGGAATACATCAGTTCCATCTAGTGGCAAATCTGTTATTACTTTTTTTTATTTTTTATTATTATTACAAGTTTCAGTGTTAGGTTAAAGAAGGAGCTATACACCTGTTCTTAGAATGTGATGACCATGTCCAACTTATAGTTACTGGCAATAAAACAAGTGTTCATAAAGATGTCAAATTCTATGAAGTTTTTTTTAACTACTCTGGAGATTAGTGTAAAATTTGAACTCACCATTGTTATATGTAGCTCCAGCAGCTTCAAGAATTTTTCCCATATTCTGAAGAAGCTTCAAAATAAATACAAAATGTTTGCACTGTTAGTTGTAAGGAAACAGTTAAACAAGTTTTTGATTTTTCATTGATAACTTGAAATGTTATTTAAAAAATTGAAGTTAGAAAGCTACTTCCTTTCAACAGTAATTTTCTACTCTATGATAAAACCTAAAGATTGACTGAAATTTTTTCAAAGAAAATATATTTTCAACACTGAAACTAACCAAGTCTTAAAAATAGAAGTCATAATGATCTTGTTTCAATGCATTTGTAAAAGCATAATATGCATGCTAAATATGAATGTCATGAAAAAATTTCTCAGCTATAAAAAGATGGTCAAAAGTTTAAAAATATTCATACTGACAATCAAAGTTGTATTTTCTGTATCTTTTAAAAACAAAATTTTCAACTAACAATTTCTCAAATTTTAGGATTATTCTTAAATTATAATAAAATTAAATGCATCAAAACCATTCTTGCAAATTTTAAATGACAAAAATGCCTACAAAAAAATAATTATCTTTAATTCTGTTACAACAGCGGAAGATTCTCGAAGGATCATGAATTGTCCTGGCAACTCTAGTCTGTTCCAGGTGCCCTCTTTTTTTAGTATGCAAGCCTGGCAAATAAAACGAGGATAGAACTGCATAGATAGATAGATATAGAGAGAGATAACTGAGTCAAGCAAAAAGTAGACGCTGTAAGTAAAGTGTGTGAATCACTGTGATTTATAGCCTGTGTTTATAAAAGCAGTTAAGTTTAAAGTGACTGTGGAAACTCTGTGTATTACAAAGTTGTATCAAGAAAGAATAAACTAGTTTTAATTAAGAAAGAACTTTTATCACTGAAGTTCCTCGGAGAGAATTTATACCAGAAATTAACAAACGACCAGATACGTAACAATACGATACATGTTACACTAACAAGTAATACACATGTTGCTTGAAAAACTCCAGCAGATTTTGTACAATAACACTTGTATGTGTGTACGTTACTGTTTTAAAACTCATTATATGAGATTTCAAAAGTGACTGTACATGTACTTCATATTAATGCACCTGTTTTCCAGACCATTGGTGAGCACATTTAGAATCATGGGTGTGTCAAAGTTCAAAAGATGTGACAACAGGGAAATACTATTGGAGGGGGGGGGGTGTTTTGCATATAGTTAAGCAACTTTATTGAAGAAATAATACATGTAGGTTGTATGTTTATTATATTTTTAAACATATGAAAACTATTATAAATTCATTCTATGATGTATCAAAATTAGAGGTTTCACTGCATACCTACCCTCCCAAAAAGTTAAAATTTAAATCTACTCTTTATTTTACAAGAAGTCATTGATTCCAGTTTCCTGTTTAAGTTCTTTAATTATCATAATTATGTTTAATATAGATGAAAACCAACTCAAATGCATGGCAAAAAAAAAGATCTTAGCATAAATATGGATAGGTCACTAAAGCAATTGAAGCACTGCAATGTTTCTAGCAGTGAAGTTAAAAAAGTTTTAGGATTTATTTATAAACATGCAGATTAAAAGTCAAAAGGTGTCATTATCTCTACAGAAACAACTAGTTTGGCCTCACTTGGAATAACGTGTACAGTTTTGATCAAATGATCTAAGAAAGGATGTGGACTTACTGGAAATAGATCAGAGGAGGGCTACTAGGATGGTTCCCAACAGTGGAAGGGTAATGCTAACTTCTAATATAGAAATGGTTGAGAGGATGGAAATTAGGGAACATCTGGGTGCAAGTGATCATTGCTCCATTAGGTTTGATGTTTTGCTGCATATGGAGATCAGGAACAATGATATTTTAGTTACAAATTTCAAAAAAGTAAATTTTGAAAAGATGCAGCAAGAATTATCTATTGTGAATTGGGCAGCTGAATTATTTGGAGACATTGATCAAACGTGGAAAAATTTTAAAGATAAACATATTCCTTATAAAAAGAAAAGGATAGCTGCAAGTAACAAACCAGGTTGGCTCACAAAGTATATAAGGAATAAAATTATAAAAAAGCATCACCACAAATTTAAGAAATTTAAATTGACTGGTATGACAGGAGGCTTAGAAGATTACAGAATATCAAGAAAGTTGGTCAAACAGGAAATTAGGACATCAAAAAAAATGTATATAAAAAAAAAAGGACTGCCCAAAAATTGAAAAAGTAAGAATTTCTTTAAATTCATAAGGGTAAACAAAATATTAGGGGTAGGACCTATGAGGGATGATAAAGGATGGCTTGTATATGATGATTATGAGATGGCTGGGTTACTAAATTTGCTTTTTTCTTCAGTTTTTACTGATGAAGATTTAACCAATATTTCTCATCTTGAACAGTTGATGATCACATTAATTCTGAGCTTGTTAAGAAAAAATTAGGAAGTTTAAAGAAAGATAAAGCTCCTGGGCCAGATATTTCCCCAAAGGTTTTGAAGGAGGTTAAGGATTGGATATATGAGCCACTTGCTCCAATTTTTGCAAGTTCTTGAATAGTAGGCAGGTGCCAGAGGACTTGAAGTTGGCTAATGTTATTCTTCTTTTCAAGGGAGGTGATAAAAATTGTTCCAGTAATTATAGGCATATTAGTCTTACATCAGTTGTGGGAAAAGTTTTGGAAGTCTTGATAAAAGATGTTTTTGAAGTCATTTAACAAAGTTTAGAATTTTATTGGATAGTCAACATGGTTTCACTTAGGGAAAATCTTGCTTTACAAATCTTTTGACACTATTTGAAATGGTTACTGCTTATGTAGATGAGGGCAAGGGTGTAGATTTGGTGTAACTGGACTTTTAGAGAGCATTTGACATAAAAGGCTTGTAAAACAAATTATCTCTATAGGTGTGGGGGTAAGTTAGCAAATTGGATAGAAGAGTGGTTGGATGGAAGAAAGAAGAGGGTTTCATTGCAGAGTTCAGTCAAACTGGATTAATGTCACAATTGGGGTAACTCAGGGCTCAGTCTAAGGACCTTTGCTCTTTTTGATTTACATCAATGACATAGATGAAGGAATGGTTAATAAATTACATAAATTTGCTGTTGTTATTTAGGTCTTGGGTGTTGCTAGCTGTGAAAAAGACTCTGCTGCTTTACAAAATGATTTAAATCATTTAGTGAGTCGGGTGAATAAATGGTAGATGGGTTTTAATTATAATGAATGCAAGATAACATACTTGGGTTATCATAATTTGAATTATATGTATAATTTGGATGGGAATAACCCTAACAGTGTTAAAAAAGAAAGAGATCTTGTTGTAGTGGTTGATCAGTTTCTTAATCAATCCATGCAGTGTGCTGTTCCTAGTGGTAGGGTAAATAGGATTTTAGGTTGTATGTATGTGTGTATATATATATATAGAAATATTGAATACAAGTCTAAAGAGGTTTTAATTTTATACTACAAGTCATTGGTTAGGCCACATTTGGAGTATTATGTTCAGTCATGGTTTCCTTACCTTAGGAAGGACATGCAATCGTTGGAAAGGGTTCAAAGGATGGCTACTACAATGGTGCTTGGGATGGAGGGGTTGTCATACGAGGAGAGGTTAAGACCACTGAAACGGTTTTCTCTTGAGAAAAGAAGTGTCAGAAGGGATCTGATTGATGTGTTCAAGATTGTTAAGGGAAATGATAGTGTTGATGCATAATGTTTTTCATACTTAAATGGTGAGAATGGTAGGACTAGAGAAGAGGACATAAATGTAAATTTTGGCAGGGTAAGAGTCATCTTCAGCTAAGACAGTTTTATTTTTCTGACAAAGTGGTTGGCCTCTGGAATGGGTTGCCTTCCAATGTTGTGGAGTCAGTAAGTTTAAGAGAAAGCTTGATAAATATGTGAATGATAAAGGCTTGGCATTGAGTGTTTTCTTTTATATGTTTTACTTAATAGTTTTAGTTTAGAGGACTGGACAGCCTAGATAGACCAACAGGTCCCTTGTTGTCCCTAAACATTATGTTATGTTTCAGAGGCAGGTTGAAATCTCTACCTTATGTTCTTTTGAGAAAATTAAGAGGTTATCTTATTGGATCAATAGGAAAAAGGTTTCTAATATTTTTGTGCTATATTCTGAAAATAATGGGACAAGAGGACACAAGCTTAACATTTAGAGAAGACATGCTATATGCCAGTTAATAGCTTTATTTTTGTGAAATGGTGGTTGATTTATGGAATGAGTTGCTATCAGCAGCACTACTGACCAACACTTTACAGGAGTTTCAAAAGAATATGTACAATTTCCTGCAAAGTGAAAGATAATCTTAATCTTTTTATTTTTTGCAAGCATAAGTATACATAGACAGCCTTGAAGGACCAAATGAACTCTTACTATTTATTCACTTTGTTATGTGAAGAAGCACCAACCTAGACTACTGATGACTACAACTTGTAAGTCAATTACCCTGTTAGGGTGTGTGTGTGTGTGTGTGTGTGTGTGTGTGTGTCTATATATATATACATAAAAAGCTTTTCCAAAATATAAGAGGCCATTATTCTTAAATAAGATTAAAGATCATTTCTTACCAAGAGATCATAGCCTCTCTCTCTCCATAAGACAAACATTCCATCATTGGAATCATTCTAGCAGTTCTCCTATGAGCCCTTTCCAATAAGTCAATATTCGTTTTTTGATAAGGCTGCCAAAACTGTACATAGTATATATAACAAGTGAGACCTTACTAGTAACATAACATATGGACAATGAGGGATAATTTGATTCTTTGAGGCTGTTCCTGCAATCCATCCTTGAGACAGAAGTAAAAAAAAATGTGAACCCAAATTATTGAAATTATCAATTTTAGTTCAAACTCTTGTAAAATGATGGTATCCACTATTACCAATGGCAATTTATTCCATAAGCCAACCACTATTAGAAAAATAAAACTAGTTTAACTGGAGTCTAATCTGTCTTTTCCAGATCTTAAACTTTTGTCTTCTCATTCTATTCTTCAAAATATAGCATAAAGAAAGAAAAGGTCTTTATACTATTGATTCCCCAGATGATCTCACAAGTTTCAACAAGTCATCTTTTATCCTTTTCTCATGAGAAGATAAGTTTATAGATTTTAACCTACTTCCATAAGATAACTTTTATTTCTAGAATCATCATAGTGCACAGATAATTCCCTTAACTGATACGTAATTCTGTCATAGATATATAAACATGATGTTATACTACCTGCTTAGTCTGAGGAACAGTGCCCCCCTCTACCAATTTCATGGTTGCTGGGTCAAATCCAATCTGGCCAGAGATGTAAAGTGTGTTATCTACTTGAACAGCCTGACTATAATGACAACAATAGACAAAAAATAAAATATTTGCAAGAAACAACTGGATATCACAAAACCAAATGGATCAAGAAAGTAATGGAACAATTGAACACCCACTGTTAACAATAAAAGTAATAATAATAACAAAACTTTTGGCCTGCAATGTTTTTTAAACAAAACTTCAAAATATTCAAGGTATCACATACTACTTAACAAGATAAACTCAAAAAGTAATTACATCTAATATTAGACCTTTTTTCCAAATTTGTTACAATGATATCTTTTACATTATATTTAAAATCTATGACAATATTAGAATCAGTTCTCATTGGTATATCCAAGGAATTATTTACAAAATTACAGATTATTGTACACAATATCTTATGGATTATATGGGATAGAAACAACAAATTTAAGTATTATTATAATTTGAAATAAGTAAAACAAAGGAGTCTTCAAAATTCAAAACTTGTACTAGTTAGAATAAATTTTCAACAATAATACAAAATCTTTAAAACAATAATTCATTCAAATTTTGCTAATTAATCTTCTTTAATAAAGAAATTAAATATTTTAAGGAATGTCTACCATTGTAAAACTTGGTATTGTATGTTACTATACTGTTAACTAACTGAACATAATTATATGCAGTTCCCCTCTCACAATTCATACAAAATCTGCCCCATAAAAATACTGTGACTAGTAGAATGTACTCATTACTCTATGCACTGTACTGCTATAATTGTAATACACTATCAAATATTATTCCAGACTATAAGCATATTGCAAAAAATGGCACTCAGGTAATGGCATACAAGTATACACATATATACAAGTAATATAATTTGTTTCATTTCATTTTCCACTATTTTTAGCCCCAGTAGTACTCTTTCTAACTGCCTAAAAGTCATTGTTAGTTGATGTATTCAACCATCTTCCATCACTATTCCCTCAACCAAACACTTCTCTCCATGACATGAAATTTCAGGGGCATCAGATTCAAAGGGCCACTAATCCATTTTGGTTATCCCATACATTTCCAACACTTGCCTGTCTATGTCCAGCAAAAACATGTTGAGATTTCAATGCACCCCCATACAATAACTTCTCCAAATTTAGAATATCTGAAACCTCAACATCTATTTTCAAACAGGGTGGAAAGAAGCTGAATAGTGTTTCACACAAGATCTAACTATCACTTTATTGTTATTTTTGTACTTTTGAGGCATAGAAACACTTATTTCTATAATTACTAAAATATCTAAATTACAAAGTTAGGCACAACAAACAACTGTTTATCATGATTCCGAGTTTTGTATTTTTGTAGCTTACAAAAACAATTAAAAATGTATATTGGAAGTTCTACAACACTTGAATTCGATAACTATAAAGTATAATACAACAAGAATATGTCATACTGATAGTAATGGTATAAATATTAGTTAATACATTATTGTCATTAGTTACCAATATAAATAATCTTGTTAAAATCAGCATTATTTTGTTCAATTGCTGTTTTCTACAACTTTGAACAGAGATGTTTAACAAAAAGTAAAAGCTTGGAATGGTCTATTCTTTCATTGGAGGTGTGTCTGTAGGCCAGATTAGTTTCGAAGAATTCCACTCCTCATCAATGGCTCTTAACACTATCACCGAATGAAACTTAACAACAACATATGCGTTATTTCATTCCGATCCCAGGGGGATGGGGTGGTTACGCCCTCTTGTTAGCCAAACGACAAAAAAAGAAAGATTGTAAAAATGAATAGCAGAAGGGTAAGCGAATGAAACTTCAGACCAAAACAAGCCAGGCAGCTGATACATAATTGAACAGAGTTGTTTGTTTAACAACAAGTAAAAGCTTGGAATGGTCTATTCTTTCATTGGGGGGGGGTCTGTGGGCCAGACTAGTTTTGGAACAACTCTGTTCAATTATGTATCATCTGCCTAATGTATCAAATTGTGGTAGAATGCTACAAGTTCTTCAAATACTTATAGAATGATAGGTTTCTTTTTGTGAGTGTAAAACACTTAAAATACACCATTTCTACAACTTTGATTTCGAATATTTCACTATAAATGCCTATATTATATTTATAGGATAACGTACAAGACTAACAAAAAAGACCCTTCAAGTTCAAATTAGTACTACTATCACTGGGCCAGAAGAAACCACAGTCGAACTTAAACTTTAAAGTTAAAAGTTCACCCTCCCCAACTACGAGCCCTAATACTTTAGATTGAACTTAATCTGTTGAAGTTTATTTTAGCTAAAGTCTTAAGACATAGAATGTCTTTAAGTTTAAAATTTAACAATGGGTAACAGCATAGAAAAAGAAAATTATTTCTGTCTTAAAAATTTAAACTTCAAACTTTATATACAGAAAAATAGTAAAAAATACCTGTAAGGTCCGATTGCTTTTGGTGCAAGAGAAGTATTTATGATTCTTCTTATTATACTTGCCATATTCCCGATTCTTTGATACTAACACCTAAATAACACCGTTTCCTCTTACTTTTAGAACCTAACAGTACGTTGTTGCCAAGGTAAGAGACTAAAAGTATGCAATATTTCGCTAATATTCTAAACGAGCAAGGTCAATAAAGCCCACGTGACTTTGATCTCTTCAGCTATTTGGTCATTCAATTACTTAGTTCTGAGTGATCGAATAAAGAAATACAAAAACTCTTAAACACAGCAACTTAGTTTTATTAGATGTAACAAATATGCATATCAATTAAAGGCAACAAAGTGTCACTCAAAAATACACAAAAGGAATAACATAATAATAAATTTAAAATTTAACTCAACATTATCTCTGAATTTTAGTGAGTGTAACGACTGGCAGCGCCATTACCGGTTCTAAATTATGTTATAACAAAAAAATATAGTTTCTAAGTGTTAAGTTTATAGCTTATTATATATATATATTGTTGCGTCAGCGAGTCACATGACTACCGTGACGCCACGTTTCTAGAATTATCCTGTACTTTGGCGAATGCTCTAGTATTTACTAGATATAGGGTAGTCGGGTATATATAAGAGGGGGAAAACGTGACGCGGGAAGATATAATGTAATGTGTGTGTAGATGAGTAATTGAACTGCAGTCAGAGAGCACGAGAGACTGCAGCAGTACAAGATATTTTTAGAAGCTTGAAACTCACCCACATAATTTACTATTAAAAGGCACCAATCACATACCTGCCGATAATGATATGAAATTTATATTTTTGATGCACCCTATTGCACAATCAAATTTTCCATCATCAACTTCATCAAGAAAAACCTTCCAAACAATGTATATAAAAGGTGACTTACACTATTCAAAACAACTGTAAAATTCTGAAAAATTTCAAAAATTACTCAATTGAATCAAGTAATGTAATTTATTAATTCCCTACTTACAGAGGTAGATATACTGGACAGACAGCATGATCTTTTGAACTCAGCACTACTGAGCTTTTGAAAAAAAAAACTTCAAAGATGCAAAACAATTAATAATAACAAATCAGACTTGATGAATAGTTAACTAAAAAAATAGAAAACTTAAGACAGGAGGGTTAACTACAAGCCAAACCCAATCACTAGAGGGTAATGAAGGGCAAAGTAATACCAGCATCTGGTAGTCACTTTTAAGCAGATATTCTGGTTTTCATTTCCTCTCTCTTTCGTAAAAACATTATAAACTAATGACATAATTCTGATATGTAAAAGTTTAGTGCATCAATCTCCTATTGAAAACAAAATACTCTACAGCGATGACATCTCATTCATCTAATCCATAACTTTATCCATTCATTGGACTTGATGAGAGTACATGTAAATTAGTAATATCTTCTCACACGAAACTGTTAAGGTAAAAAATTAGTCATGTTTAATAAACAGTGCAAAAAAAATAAAAAATAAAATAACAAGTACACAATATTATTTTACACACTGTAATATACAATAGTTTTAGCACATTGTAATAAGCAATATTGTTTTAGTACATTGTGAAGTGAGGGAAAATATATATTTCAGACAAATCAACATAAGGACTCACCAAATCAGTAGAAAAATCATCCTCACTGTCTGTTCCCCCACTAGTTCTTCTGTTCTTCAATTGATCTACAACCCTTGTAAGTCGTTTGGCTAAATGTTCAAATAAGCTGTAAAATGAAACAACAAATTATCATGAACATGTTCTTAAAATCCAAAACATCAGTAAAGATATTATAGTCTAAAATATCTAACTAAATACTTCAAAGTAATTTTCATAGAAAAAGGTGACAATGTTCATTATCATTATTAGAAAATAAATAACATATGTATGCGGACTCTTAGAATATTTTAAGAGATCCTAAAAAAAAAAACATGTATTACAAGTCTAATAATGGTTGGAGATGGCTTGAATGGGTAATGAAGAAAAACTTTAATGTAGGTTTAGCATAACAGCAAATGTACAACCTTGTCGAAACATTGTACATTTGCTGTTATGTTAAACCTATATTAAAGTTTTTCTTCATTACCCATTCAAGCCGTTTTCCAACCATTATTAGTCTCAAAGTAGGTTCCTCGTCATCAAATTTGTATTACAAGTCTGATGGGTTTCATAAACTCTAACATTGAATTCCCCTTCTAATGATGTAAACCACTGCTTCAAAAGTCAAACAGTTTAATTACTGAGAAGGTCAATATAGATGATGATAAGATCTTTAATGGATGATTGATTGATTGCTTTGAACTGATAGACTATATGGAATAAAGCTAACAATCAGATATTGGGATTTGACCATTTCTCTTATAATGCACCCATGGTCCAAAGTATAGAGAGCAATTTTTTTTCAATAACAGGATGTGAACTAGAGCAAGGAAATTAGTGGAACTAGTTAACTGACTAATAATCAGGATCATTAACTGATTACTTCAACTAATAGAATATTTTCACAAAAGACTAATTTTCCTATTTCCAGCATGTTTTAGTTTTAAAGACATTTTAAACTATCCTTTCTTTAATTTGAGAGACATCTTCAGGCTCAACAATCAGGTTACTTTTTTAATCCTAAACTGTTGTATGTGAAAATATATCATATATCCAATAAAGCATGAAACCCGCAACAAGCTGAAAATGTGATTAATAACGTTCTGTGGGGTTTTTCCCTGCAAATTTTCACCAGACTACTCCACTAAAAATAAATAAACTAATTCTTTGTTAAAAATAATCATCCTTAGAATGTCATGTGATAAAACTAGTATAGATTTTTGTCACAGTGGCCGAAAAATAATATATAATTCAATGAAAACAGATTCATGCCAATCTTAGAAAGACAAAACAACATCTACTGTTTGAAAAGAAAGCTTCTGATGATACTAGATGACCTTTTTGGAGAGATTAAAACAATTCATAAAGGTGGAAATCGAAATTTTATACGAAACATTAAAATTATAGTAATATGAAAAAATCTTTAATAACAAATGTTTTTGAATTCCATCATCAGTGTGAAAAATGTAAAAATTAATTAACAACTTTATATATGTATAAAAAACATTTTAAGCTTTCAAGCAAGAAGTCATTGACAACTGTCATGTAGAAATAACACATTAAAATGATTAAACCACTTAAAGCTTACTTTTATAGGCAGTTTTTCCTTTTTTTAGTGCTTGCTATCTAGCTAGAGCTAGTCATGATTAATCAGGAGTTTCATCAAGTTATTAACTTATTTTTTTTAAACTTTTATTAGTACATGTCTATAAATTCCTGACAAACACACTTAAATGAGCAAGTTATACAGGAATCAATTTTTTTTTGTGAATAAAAAATAATGAATATTAACTTGAAGTAATTTTTTTTATTAAATCAACCTTACCATAAGTAACCATGTTACATATTGTTACTGTTATTAGTTCGTGTCTAGTAATTTCTGACAAACACAGTTAAAAGAACAAGTTTTAACTGTGTTTGTCAGAAATTACTAGACATGTTACATATAGTTACTGTTATTAGTTCAAAAATAAGTTTTTTCAGTAATCAGCATTTTTTCAAGCAAATAATGAATAAGTATTAATTTGCTATACATTTTTTTCACAAAATTTGTTTTAGCCTAAGTAGCACCAATTATCTTGTAATAAATAAACAATATAAAGTTAAAGCTACATTATTATTTAGACATATAGAGTAAACACAAACAATGGGAATCATTCTGGTTAGTTATTTAACCAATGACCACTAGGCCACACTGTAATATGTATAAGTTGTGTATAAGCAGAATACATGCATATCATTGCGTCAATGCAAGTACTAACAACTGATATTGTGATCACTTGGAGAGTTAGAAATAATTGAAAACTCTCATTTTGATTATTTTTGTGAGTCATGACACTAATCTATTAGGATTATGTATATGGATATGGTCATTTTGAATAACCTTGTAACCATGAAACTATACATTTTGTAACTCTGAATGTAATAAGTGTATCTTAAAAATATTTGGCAAGATTTTGGTAAATATTACAAGTATGTTGTACACAAAACATCTGATTTTTTAATAAAGTATTTTTACTAAAGATTTGTCTGTGAATCAACAAAGCCTTTATTAAATGTTATGTTTTAGTTACTTTTGTTAAAAAATACATATAAAAACCAAGAAATTTAGCATTTACTTTACCCTTGAAGCCTTTTGCATTTGTATACATGGTTTACTAAGCTTTATTTTTTGTTTTCACTGTGTAATGTGTGCAAAAGGTAATCCATATAACTTCAAAATATGCATTACAGAACACAAAAAATACATCAAACACTAGAAAAGAATGTTCCAAACTACTTTGATTTAACTGGCTTTCTAAATAACCTATAAACAAGTTTAAAAAAATTCATTACTGCTGAGAACAATGTCTTTAGTTTAAACACATCAAGCTCTTATACCTTTTACCACCACAACAAAACAGACAATAATCTGAATTATGTAATTTGCTCTTTCTACTGGTTACAAACTATCCAATAACAATGTCATAGAGAATAGAGTAAAGCAAGATGATGAAATTCAATATTCTGGTTTTTAAACATCAATAGCATATGTTTCTAAGTGGTTGAACAATCTGAAGCTCTTATAAGGGAAGGGGAAAGATCTATATGAGAAGACACAGCACCACCACATCATGTGACTAAGGAAGGTGCAAACTGAGAATTTGCACAAATATTTCTTTTTAAAATTAAAAACTTGAAACTTACATAATATAAAAACCTGAATTATAAAATATGTTTTGATAACAAGTTTTTAACATACATTAATAGTAAAGTAGCCCTATTAACCTTTGAATAAATATCTAAAACACACACAACATGCACATTTTGACCCACCCATATCCATCAGGTTAAGCTGAATAACCTTAAATTAATCAAATATAATAATGCAAAATCATAATGGCAATTATTTGATTACTTGGATAGTTGAAATAATTGAAATAGTAATAAATCAGAAATAATAATTTTCATTAGTTGATTATCTGACATAACACTAATCAATGTATTCAATATTCATACATAATTGATTAATCGAATCAATCATCCAGCTGTAATGTGAACTACAGACTCTAAGATACTACAGCCCAACATGCTAACCACCAGGCCACATACAGCCCATTCTTAATAACATCTACCCTCCCTCCAATGTGTGTGTTTATGTGTGCATACATTAGGGGCAGGTTAAGGTGAAAACTATTGTGGCTGTAGCCCAGACCCAGGCTAAAAAAAAAAAGAAGGCTTGTTATGAGGTTTAGTTTTTTACTTTAGTAGTAATCATAATACATCCAGTAGAAAAATTTAGCACCAGGCCTGCCTGACCTTTAATCCGCCCTTATGTAAATACACACACACACAGTGCTATTGGAATTGAGAAGGTGATGAAAGTTTAGAATCTAAAAGCCAAGGAAAATAAAAATTTTACATCAGTAACTTAAAGAAGGAACAAGTCATGAAATCTCTAGTAATTTTGAATAACCTTCTAAACAAGTTGTCCTACACATTACATTGTTTCATGCAACACATGAGTAAGTTATTAAACTTAGAGATTAGGGTTTAATATCTTGAATTATTTAAGTCATATGAAATATACATGTAGAATCGTTTTTGTAATATTTTCTTGCAGATTTTATAACATATACAGTTTTTTATTTGAAAACAGTCTAAGTAACCCAAACAGAGAAGTACACATACTAGTGTTCTATGGTTTACATGTACATTCTTTGAAAAAAATAACTCTTTAATTCTGTTCAGATGTCACATATGAAATCTGTGTTTTAGAAAAATTCCTATTCATAAAACATGAAAAGTATATGTACCTCACAAACCGCTGAGACACATAGGGGTGAAGAGCTTTAAAGTGGCTTGACATGTTGGCTAGAGCTGCCAAACAGTTTGTGTGAAGGTATTTGTCCTGAAATGTTTCACACATAAAAATAATTATACAAAAACGAGTTATATACAATGCAAATTACAAGCATATTGGTGTACCAAACTTTGTTCTAAAGGCCTTCTTACTGAACACACACATGCACATACATTTAAGAAATATAATTAATATGACTCATAAGTAATTTAAGTGTTAGATGCTGACAAGTCAATTAATTCAACAATTTCTGATACTAAGTGAATTACTTTAATAGTGTCAGACAGTGACCCAACAACAATTTGTAGCATGCATACACAAATAAATGTTCTCAAAACACAGTTTATCAAAGATTACAAATGAAAGGCTCAGTTAAGTGGTAATCTGTAATAGAATGGAGTTCTGGTAATCTTTTCTCATATGACTTTTGTATATTATATATACAGTGATTTAAGAGAACATTTTTAAATTTGACTCAACAATGAAGAGACAAAAAAATTCAAATTTGTGAAACTCAAAAAATCTTTGTCTGCATAAAATACAAAAAATCCCCAATTCTAATTCATGATAAAAATAAAATATTTGTATCAGAGTAAAAAATGTGTAAAAATAAGTAACTAGACTCAATCCTCTAGTAATTACTCTCCTGAACTACAGGTGCATAGTTATTATGAAATGCATAGGGATGAGGTACAATTTAACAAATGTCTCCCAAACATATCACTTGGGCTACACTTAAGCTAGGTTATATTGTTAGCCATGAAAAGTATGATATTAAACCACATGCAAGCTTGAAATTTCCTACCACTGTGGAAAAAGGTTATTCCCATTCAAAAGTTTTCCATTTTCAAATAAGAAATGAAATATTAAAACGTTTCTTATAACTTTTCATTGTGTATCTAAAAATAATTTGAATTATTTGTTAACAATTCAATTAGTAAGACTGGGTGTCACAGTAGTTACAGCACTAGACAGTTGAGTCAGGATTTTATGTTATTTCTTTTTTGTATATTTTGTATTATATTTACAAGATCTTTGAATATTCAGAAAAATACTAATGCAATTACAGATTAAAGCAGAGATATCAAATTACATAATAAACACTAGTGCTACAATACATTATTTTTTATGTTTTTCACCTTAGAAAAGGGATAAACATTCTTTATACATACATTGTTACTTTAATATAAATAATTTTTAAAAAACATTTATTTAGATTTCATTTTCAGAGGAAAAATTAATCAGCATTTAGCTTCATACGATAGGCATTCAACTAGTTTACTATAATTTACAAATTATTTACACACTTCTCTACATGTATAAACATGCACATAAGATATATAAAAATCGTGAAATGAAATACTAACCCTCATCCTAGTTATGTTAAACTGAATTGTTCTTATCACAACAAGAACTAACAGACCACCTAGAGAAATCTCTGATATTGATCGCTCTGTATACCAGGAGATATTCTTAATAACCTGTAGAGAGAAAGAAACCTCTAGTTTGATAAACAATTTATTGATAGAATTTAACATTCTCTTTGTGTAAACCTAAACAACTTTCTCTAGTATTAAGATGCTTGTTCACATGTAAAACCTGACCTCAAATGATAACTGTTACCTCTTAAATGTGCATGAGCTATAACCATATGAAAATTTTGAGGTTCTTATGTGTCATGATAAGGATCCAATAATAGTCATATATTTACAAAAAAAAAAAGAAAATACACAAGCTACTTTTCTTTAAAATACCTATATACCTTTTTTGCAATGATAATAGAATTTAGCTCACTGAGTAATACAGGAGATCCCTGAGTTACATTGATTCACATATACACAATTTATATAACTTGACCAATGTTACAACTCACGCAACACTCTGCTTAAAATGTATGTGGTACAGAAGTTGTTGACTTGGAGTCTTGAATGAGTGTTATTCTACAAGACATGATAAGAGAAATGAAAATAAAGAATAGTTTATTAAATCAACATTTCAAGCAGTTACTCTTCCTCAGGCAATGTAAATTATGTTAATATAGAATTAGGCTAGAAAAAACGAAAAATAAATAAATTTTGACCTGTTAATCTCAGTCATGACAATGTGACACTCAACAAATTAAAATGAGAAAGCCTTGAACACCATCTTATCTTCCAACTTAACACTAAGTCCTCTTGTAGTTTAAATGAAAGATTTACTTTTAGATAATTACTAAACCCAATTGACCCTTCCCTTAATTTTTCTCCCCTTCTTTTCTTTAGATGCATTTACTTTGCCTTCTTCCCATAATTACTTCCCTGGATTATTATTATTATATTGTATTAAGATATTATATTATCACATGTCTAATTAGAAGTATTATTTTATCTTTTAATGGTAGTTTCTAGCCTGATTTGAAATCTGCCTCTCAGACAGCCAGTCAGTTAGCTTTCAGCTTCCATAGCATTAGCATCATCTCTCATCTCCTCGCATATTTTCCATTGTTTTTGGTTAATTTAACTCCTGAAGACTTGTGAAAATGGCATTGAAGAAAGCTTGTGATGTTGTGTCCAAAAGAGCAAGTAAGTCTATTACACTGGCCCAGAAAACAGAAATCCTTGAAAAGTTAAGAGAAGGCAATAGTGCTGTGTCAATTGTTCACAAATACAGTTTAAACTGATTGACTGTGTGTACCATTAAAAAGTAAAAAATTAGAGAATGTGTGAAAACAACAACTCCTGTGAGTTAGAGAGTGCAGTTGGTGACAAGAGTTTCTCATTTAGATAAGGTTGAGAAACTCCTTAATCTTTGGATCAATGAAATTACCAGTACAAAAGGATCAGTTGTCAACAGCTTGATAATTAGGGCTAAAGCTTTGTGTCTTTATGAAGTAAAAAGTAGTGATGCCAAGCCATTCACTGCAAGCAGGGGTTGGCTGAACAGATATGTTTAGCATTATTATCTGCGAAAAGTGAAATTAAAAGGTGAAGCAGGATTTACCAATGTGGACGGTGTTAACAATTTTAAACAGAAGTTTTTAGAATTTATTAAAGATAAAGGCTACAAACCTACCAAACGTTTTAACTGTGATGAAACAGGACTTTTTTTTTTTACAAGAAAAATGGGCAACAGAACTTATTTAACCAAAGAACAAAGTGTGGTCAGTGGTTTCAAGGCATGTAAAGATAGATTAACCCTTTTGTTTTGTGCAAATGCCTCAGGGGAATTCAAATGCAAACCTCTTTCAGTGTACTGAGCTGAATATCCATGTGCAATAAAGGATAAAAACAAAAAATGTTTGTCAGTAGTGTGGTGATCCAATAAGAAAGCCTCGGTCACACGTGTCATGTTGTTTCCGAGGGCTGGCTGCAGAACTTGTTTGTACCGAAAGTGAAGGAATTCTTTACGAGAAAGAACCTCTCATTTAGGGTTGTTCTAGTGTTGAACAATGTGCCAAGTCACACATCGGAGTCATTGTCCTTTGTTGATCCCAACATTTCTTTTATGTTTTTGCCTCCCAACATGACGTCAATTTTACAACCTGTGGGCGTTATTAAGATTTTCAAGTCTTATTACATTAGGAGGATCTACAAACATTTACTGGACATAATTGACAAAGGGATAGTGGAGAATATGATGCAGTTTTGGAAGCAATATAACATTTTAGACTGCATAATCCGGGAGGTCAAACCTTCAAATTTTAATGCCTGTTGGCACAAACTCTGGCCTGGGATCATCAATGACTTCAGAGGCTTCCCCATCACCGACAATGAAGTTACTGACATTGTGAGGCTGGGTAAATAGCTGGGATGAGAGAAATTTGAAGACATCAAAGTTTGAGAGATGGTCGAGCTGATCGATTACCACCAACAGGAACTAACAAACAAGGAACTTAAGCAGCTTGCTGCATCCAGCAGCAACAGTGAGGAAGAGACAGAGCCTGCTAATCCAGTCATCACTGCTAAAGCCATGCAAGAGTTCCTGTGTAAGGCTCAAAACTTGAGTGACGAGATCGTGGATCTTGACCCCATCATGGAAAGGAGTCTCAACTTTAAGAGAGGCTTAGATCTACTCTTTTTCATGTTACAAGAAGTCCAGAAGGAACTGGACAGGAATGCAAAGTAGCAGAGGATTACTTCCTTCTTCAAGCCTCAGCCTGCCTCTTCAGAGCCTACCAGCATCTCTCAGAAGGAGAAGCCAGATAACCTAGTGCAGCCAGATGACTCTCCATCAGATGAACTTGTTCTGTAACTTGTAGGTATAAAAGGATTTATCAATTTGTAATTTGAGAGTAAAGGTCTTAATAAGGTTATTAATTTTCATTATTTTTTTTAAATATTCTTTTATTATGAAATAAGGTTATTAAATCTTAGTCCCTATCCTTAATGCCTCGAGTTACATGGTTTCAACTTACACATTGTCTTTCAGGAATGTATTCCCCACACAACTAGAGGTTCAACTGTATATATAACCAACTGGTTACAGATGTATAAACAAGGGCTGATCATGGTGTTGTATTTATATACCCATGATATAAATTATCATCTTATGATTAGTTTTAGTTTTCATACTCTTGTGCCATAATCTGGAAATGTATGCATATCACATTTAAAATAACCTATAGCATTTTATGAATGAATAATAGTGAAGGATCAGTTTTCTTACTATATCATGAACAGCTTCATTAAATAAATCATCTTCACTCAGAATCAGCAAGATGATCAGAGCCATGTATATATGATGGGAACTTCTCTCTGGGGCCTGGTACAGGATTTTGAGGATTGGCATAACCTATTATAATCACACAACAGAACTGTACATGGAGTAAAATTGCAATATCAAAGTATTTTTTTTTATTCTAACTGTCAATCAACATTCACATTATTTTATGACTTAACAACTTTTGTTTTTTTGGGCAAGTGGTTTGCCTTATATGTGTAATGTCTATGTCTTGCTGAAAACAATTCCTAAAACTTGTGTTCATATACTTTAAGTCATAAATTTGCAGAAATATTGCAGGAAATGATTAAATTACATTTTCAAAAAGAAGTCACTAAAAGTATAAATAACTCTGCCTGAAAGTTATGCTTGTAAAACCGAATTATCACTTCCTTCTTCTAGTTTATGACATTAACGAGAAACATTAGTTACCAATGTGTCCACATCTGTACGTGACAAGACATATGTTCTGAAGTTTGGGTTACGATGGAGAAGCAGGTACAATAGTAATGTGGTATGGTCATCATGAACGGTGGAACACAATGTTGAAAACAACTTGGAGCAGTCAACTTTAAAGGCAGGTGCTTCATCTGCTGAAAAACTACTTGTTTCTGAAGATGAAAAAAATCTTGTTAAACAATTGTGAGCCCCTGATTTAACATCAAACAAACAAAGTAAGAATTTTTTCTAATATTTTTTGTCATTTTAGAACTCACTATTACACCTGTTAATCTTTCACGAATATTTAAAACTATCAAGCAGGATTGAGCTAGCCATATAGGAATATTTCATTCTTCAAGCATTAATTTTCTGCTTGTGTCACTTTTCTTATACATAATAACACCAGGTATATTTTCTTGTCTCTTAACATTCTTGATAACAATTCTTTAACTTAAAAACTATTGAAAAAGTACTACATGATAGGTTAAATGTTTTTACTTCTGTTTACTAAGTTTCAAAAATAATAAGCTACTTGAGTTATTTGAAATGCTCAAAACCACGTATTATCAAATGAATAAACTGAAAAGAAATATAGCATAACTAGCAATTCTTTTAAGATCTGTTTATAAACACCAAAAACATATTCAGAGAAATTACTGTTGACACACTATTCACAAACATGTATTTTTACCACTTGTCAATTAAAAGTTGTCACATGTACAGAGAGTAATGTGCCATTCTATGTACGAATTACCTAGAGTTTCAATATGCTGTCAACTTTATGTTTTTAAAAGAAGTTAGTCAATACTATAAAAAAATATACTACGAGTTCATTTTTGAGAAAGACTATTAAAATGTGAACAATTACTCATGAAAATAAAAATAAAATTGATCGGTAAGCCACTTCTCTAAAAAACTGGAAGTGGATGCGAAAGAAATATACAGTTCAATGAAATACCCATTTTCGTAAAGCATAATAGTTAACTAAATATTAAATAAATAAAAAAAATTATGTCACTAAACATTAAAGTAGTTTTAATATTTGCATTAAAGTTTCTTCACTGGTCTAGATGCTTCCATTATATCTTTAGGCCCACCAAGAGGTAGAGGAGGATGGAACAAATTTCCCTGTGGACCAATGTCTCAAAGGGGACGCTGGAGAAAGCAGGGAGAAACTGACTGGGAGAAGAGGACACTCACATACTAATCCTACCCCAGGACACACAAAAGCTCTTGACAGCCCTGCATACGTTGCTACTGACCTTGAGAATTGGAAAATGAGAACATTGCCTGTCTATATGGGTTTGGAAGGTCCTTTTCAGATGTACAATGATTAACCAATACAAGCAGTAACAGCAGACTTTGACTGGCAAGGACAGCTCTGTGTTCAGAGCTCTGATCTTTCTGACTGCCACTTCTCCCATATCCAAGAGTTAAGACATTCCATAATCCCGCTATAAGAGAAAAATAGAATATTTCTAATTGAGAATACTTACTTTCTAAATAGGAAAATCAAGTGAAAACTATGTAAAGTGATACATGTGAAGTAAAAGTTATGAAGTTTTTGTATAACTGATGAACTTATTGAAGCAGAGATAATTCTCTTAAGTTTGGAAGAACCAACTCCCAATGAAAATGTATATTATGTATGTTACTCTTTCAGGAATATTTAAAACTATCAAGTAGGATTGAGCTAACAATATAAAAATGAAATGTCATTCTTCACTGCATTAATTTTCTGTTTGTATTACTTTTATTATACATAATAACACCAAGTATAAGGATGGTTTTTCTGAAGTTCTTGTCTCTTAACATTCTAGATAATAATTGCTTAACTTAAAAGACAATTGAAAAAGTACAACTTAATGGGTTAAATGCTTTTCATTTGTGTTTACTAAGTGTCAAAAATCATACTGATTAGTTTCTTTGCTAAAATAATTTTATATAATAATAGAAGCTATATTAGGCCTTACTCACTTAAAATTCTACATTAATTATAAGTGTGTTCATTTTCTTTCTTAATAATGTTTTTAGCTTAAAGATAGGACTCATTATTTTGATATTTAAGTATAAAACTAAACTTTTTTTTAACAAACCCTTTTAAAGCTGGCTCATTCTTTGTAACACTGTGAATGACATCAGTATTTTCAAAGTTTTTGTTTATGGAAGTACAAAATAGCTTTAACAATTTTTTTGTTATTAATAACCTTTACAAGTTTATATTAACAATAATTGTTCAAATTCACACAAAATCTAAATTGTATTTCCAGATAATCTTAGATATTTTCTGTTTAAGATAACTCTGAATAACAGTATTTAAAATTTAAAAGAAGGTTTGTTTGTTTGTTGTTAAGTGCAAAGTTACACAATGGGCTATCTGTGCTGTGCCCACGACAGGTATCAAAACCTGGTTCTTAGTGTTATAAACCATCAGACTTACTGTTGAGTCACAGGGGAAATCTAAAAAAATGAACATTTTTAATTTAAGTACTTAATGCAACATACTGAGAAGAATTTATATATAGATTTTTAAAACATTAAAATGATTTACAGAAAATGGGGAAACAAATGCCAGTAAAATAAGTGGTGTAGTACAAAGGCTTCTATGGTGGAATTTTTTATTCATACTTATGATTGATTAATTTCAATGTGATCAGTACAATGACAAAGCTCTTACAGTGCTCTACTTTTTGATAAGAAAGAGTTTTTACATATTTTTGTCAACTGAAGAAACAACATTCAATTTTGTCTTTGACTAGAAATTCCACAGGTGGTGATGTGAGTTAAATTCTTCATTTATTTCAGAGTATGAATAGAAGAAAAAAACTTCTACTAATAGTCTATTTATGTTATTTTGTTTATGAAGCTAAAAAGATTAAATAGAACATCTAGAAGTTTTAAATATTACTTTCATTACCATCCTACTAAAACACTTAAGCACATGTAGGTAAAATTGAAAAATATTGAAAATATTTAGTGTGGTCAGTTTTAGTTATGTTAATAAAACAATACTGTTTCTTCAGGTATCTGTAATCTATTGTTAAGTACTTACATGCTAGGCCTATGATTATACTTCCATGAGAATCTCCATGGATCCTATAAGGTGGAACCTCTTGCTTTACAAAATTTTGTAGAAGCGCTTTCACTAACAGAAAGGCATGAATTGAGCTGAAATGATGTAAAATATTTCAGACAGGAAAATTAACCAGAAAAAAATATTACTTTTATCAAACAACCTCTAGAAAAAGGAATCAATTACCTTAGAGTATAAATGTACATAAAATTACATTTAATTAATTATGAAAATGTCGTCTTAAAAATAAACAGAAAAACAATTCATCTAATAAAGCCATCTGATTCACAATGAGCAAAAAAAAAAGAAGAAAAAAAGAAAACAAGAAACATATGAAAACATATAGTACATATGCTAAAACAAACACCATCATAAAGTAGTGAAGCACTTTCTAGTCTTTAATTCTTTTAAGATTGAGGTATTTGCATCTTTAACCAAAACAGCACCTTATGGACTAAATGGCCATATTAGAGACCCCTAAACTACAGGTATAGCTAATTTTGAACTACTGACCAGATTGGAAGGTAGCTAATCAGCAGTACCTGCTGTGAAAAAATTTTTTTCATCGTTGAACTGAATAATGGAATTGACTGTCATTGTAGCATGAGCCTTTAAGCCTTTTGATATGTAGCTCTGCATGCCAATCACTAGGCCACTTATTGATACTGATACACCTATTATTCACTGATAATTCAAAGAATTAATGAAGATAAATAACAACTAGATGATGCTTTTTAAAAAAACATTGCCAATAACAAATATTTTTGAGTATTTAAGATTCTACAGTAGTAGTATGTAAAACAGTTCATAGTATCTATGATCTTCAGCATTGCCAATAACAAATATTTTTTGAGTATTTAAGATTCTACAGTAGTAGTATGTAAAACAGTTCATAGTATCTATGATCTTCAACCTCTCGCATATCAACATTTCTCTTCTAAAAGATTTAAAATACTGAAATATCTAATATAAACTTGACTTACCACTTTCCTTGCATTATTAACCTGTAAATAAGAGACTTTGAAGCAGGTCTGGCAGAAAACATCTGAGCTGACAGAATCACAAGAAGTGTATTGACAGCTTCTACATGTATAGCATATGTAAAATCCCTATAATTGGAACAAAGAAAAATGTTGCAATAAACGTGATTTTGTATGATAAAAAATTAAAATTATTTTATAAACAGTTCAAAATCAGTAACCTATATCTAGAGAATCATTTCCTGTAATTTACTTTTATAAATTTTATAGCATTATTTAATTCCCTACATTCATTGAACATACTTGATTGTTTGTACATTATAATGCTCCATGCGTTTGTAAAAACAATCATGACAAAAAAAATTATTTAAGAACCAACTTGTGATGGTTTTTTTCTCATAATGGAAGATATAGTTGTAGATATTTGATATTTATGAGACATGTGAATAAGCCATGGGAAGATCTTAAAAAGATAAGCCTTGGGTTTGGAGACTGCTACACATACCTTGACCCCTCACACCAAATCTTCTCCTCAATTTTTATTGTAAATTTATTAGTGCAATAATCCAAGGCAATTGTGCAACTTGTTTAAATACAGTTGTCTCATCTTTAAAAGTCATAAGTTGACAGTTTTATTTCACCTATTAATAACAGTGTCAAATGATTCAATCATTAGACTAGTTGCTACATGTTATTTAGTCAAATAAGTTATACTAGGCAGTTTTCTGCCTGGTTTTACAGTTCAGTATATCACTACATATCAGCAAGGAAACTGGATTATTAAACCTTATAAGACTAGTTTTCAAATTTAATCCTGCCAGAGCTTAAATTAAACAAAAATGAATTTGAAACTAATTACTCATCTCACCTAATTCACGTTTTTATATTTCATTAAAGTTCTCTTATTTTGGTTCACTTAAGTATATACAAATGTACTATAGCCCTAACTTTACTACAGTGATTTTTTTAAAAATTGAATATATATATGAAGGAAATCCAGTAACAAGAATTTTATTTGGACTAAAGTCACTTTAGATAAATAAGATGAAATAGTTGTACAAGCACAAGAAAAAATATTTCTAATCTTTAATACTGATTTCAATAACTAGTTAACAACTGTATTTTCCTATAAATATAATATTAATTTGGTTGAACAAGTACAAAGCTACCATTTTAAGTTAAAAAGCAAGATGCAAATAGCATTTGTGATCTACAGGTTTCTCACATGACCAACATATTCAAGGAAGCTTTATGATATTATTATTAGAAAAAATTACACACTATTTACATATGCATTTGTATGAACAATATTGTTACGTCTCCGTTTGTTAATTGATTTTCCGTAACTTCGTTCCGACGAAACTTAAGCGACACAAGTCCTTTCTTAATAAAACTGGTTTATTCTTTCCGAATATAACTTTACCGATACACTCAACTTCAACAATCGCGCTAAACAAACGCTGTAATCGTGCAATGTGATAATATCAGGTCATTGTTCAAGAGAACTTGCTTTGTATGACACGTGCAATGTGATAATGTCAGGTCATTGTTCAAGAGAATTTGCTTTACGTGACCCTGGTACAAAGAACCATTCTTACTGGTTAATAACACCAAACAAGATTTTATGTCTTTACAACGCAATTGCTAACCCATCCAAGAAGCTTAGTTTGTTAGTGAGATATGTAATTGAAGTGTATGCAACAGTTTGGTTTGATACCAAGAAAAATCCCTCATGCAGCCATGGCTCACTGCACCTATTTCTACTTGTAAGAAAATCACGTTTTCTTCCTGAATCGGAGAAATATGTTGTGGATAAAATAATTCCGGAAAAATGCATATTTTGTCCACCCAGAAAATTTGCTGCTTGCAATGCTTGGAGATGATTCTAAGGCTGTCAGACAACTTGCTCTTCCTAGAATATTAGCTGCTCAATCTACCTCAAATTCTAGCATAATGAGACAGTTTGTGGTTCCAAATATTAATACAACATTACACTGATATAATAATGTGGACTGAGAGTAGAGCCACCACTAACAAAACATATAAGCAATGAACAGTTGGTGTCTTTTATTAATCAAGATGACATGCCAGTTTTGAAGTTCAACATTCCATGTCACACACAAGAAGTCGAAAGGCATGTTAAAATAGTAACAGAAGCTTCAGCAGCTGTTTGTGGCTATTACAGGAGAAAGGGATTCATTAAAGAAAAACTTCAATCTTGTAAAATCATGAAAAAATTTAATTCTATTGCCCAGTGGAAGGATGGTTGGGTGGACATGGGTGGAACTCGACATGCAACTAACTTCTCATGGTGAGTTCTGGGTAGTTTAGGATATAAAACTCCTAAACTAGCTGAATGTTGCATATCCGAGAACTTGCTTTGTATGACAACAATGTGGTAGTGTTAGGTCATTGTTCAAGAGAACTTGCTTTGTATGACATGTACAATGTGGTAGTGTCAGGTCATTGTTCAAGAGAACTTGCTTTGTATGACATGTACAATGTGGTAGTGTCAGGTCATTGTTCACACATGTCATACAAAGCAAGTTCTCTTGAACAATGACCTGACACTACCACATTGTACATGTCATACAAAGCAAGTTCTCTTGAACAATGACCTAACACTACCACATTGTACATGTCATACAAAGCAAGTTCTCT